TGATGATGTTGAAGAGGAAAAATGACGATGACGATGACCATGATGATGACGATGACGATGATGACCATGATGATGACGATGATAATGATGATGATGATGATGATGAAGAAGAAGAAGATGATGATGCTAAAATCAAGGGCAATTGATGGGGATAAGAAGCGCGCAAAGGGATTCCAAGAAGAGCCAAAGGAATATCCAAGTTAAAAAACACACGGCAGAAAGTGAAACATGAAGGAACATGAAAAAATTGGACAAACACAAATAAACGAACTCCTTGGCCAAGTCCGTGGCCAAGTCCGAGACAACGGACTCTTGCGCGGAGCCCAAAGCCAAGGAGCCCGGCTCCGTAGGGTCCCATGTCCACCCTTCCTGAGATGTCAATGAACTCTAGATGGTAACATCATCAATCTTACATAATCTTACAGTTTATTTCGACCCTGGGCTGGAAGTCTGGAAGCATCTTTGTTCCTCCAGATTGATTCATATAAGTCAGACCCGTTTGCAATGAGAATATTTCGTACTCACGAATCATTTCCCAGAACGCCGTCAAAATGCTGCCGAATTTCAAGGACTTCCACCGCAGTCAACTCGGGGTGCCGGTCCCCGACACGGAGAAGCATTTGATAAAGCGTCCTCAGTCAACACCAACAGAAACAACAGGATAAACACTATTGTTTCATCGTTTCATGACACTGTGTGACTTTCAGCTCGACTTGAGTCAAGAAAAAGGCCACGGTCCAAAACCATCAACAAAAAAACGTTCATAGCTGACATGAACTCTGCAGTGTTGAGATCAAGCAAATCCCCTCTCAGGCTGCGCTTGAGGCAGCATCCCAAGGCTGCAAACGGCAACCCTCTGACGGCGGAGGATGTGGGCGGAGCTGTTGGATTTTGCCTTCCAACACCAACAGAAACAGGGTAAACACTATTGTTTCATTGTTTCGTGACACTGTGTGACCTTCAACTCCACTTGAGTCAAGAGAATGGCCACGGTCCAAAACCATCAACATAAAAAAATCATGCTGACATGAACTCTGCGGTGTTGGGATCTAGCAAATTCCCTCTCAGGCTGCGCTTGAGGCAGCATCCCAAGGCAAATGGCAACCCTCTGACGCCGGAGGATGTGGGGGGAGCTGCTGGATTTTGCCTTCCAACACGCTGGAGGATGCACCGGAGCTCGGGCGCTCGTGTGGCCAAGCGGGCGGCACAACATCAAACAACTGGTAGACGCACGCGATGATCACCGCAACTGTGGTTGGCTCAAAGCCCGAAGCTGGGTCCAACTCAATTTGCAAAACCGGCCACCAGCCCATGCCCTGCCCGTCCTCCTCCTCCTCAGGGACTTCGTCCGGAACCAAAAACCAATCAAATGGTTGCCAAGGTAAGAGATCACCGACAGGCTCACCCCTTTCACGTACTTGCTCTTCACAACTTCTGTCTTTCTATCTCTCTCTCTCCCTCCCTCTCTCTCTCTCTCTCTCTGCCCCCCTCTCTCTCCTCTCTCCTCTCTCCCTCTCCTACTCCTCTCCCTCTCTCCACTCGACAACAAGGATAGAAATCCCTCGCCAAATCTCTCTCTCTATCAATCTCACTTCCCCCTTTTCGAATCTGAAATCCTTCTCAGTTCACGTCGTCCTCTCGAGACTCAATCTAAGTCCTCACCCTCCCTCTCTCCTGTCTCGATCCCGTTCAGTCAAATCTCCGCGGAATACTCTCTCGGTCTCGACTAATATCCCTGCAATCCTACTCAACAGGTCCCAATCCGACCCAATCTCACCTCTCTCCAATCTCTCTTAAGCAACTAACTCCTCAGTCATCAAGCGCCTCGATCTCCTGTAGTCGCCTCCCTCTGCATCGTCTAAAAGACTCGGCGAAAAGATCTCCTTCGGTCCTCTCCTCGCCGACAATTCAGACATCTCACAACATACTCTCTCACTCTCGGGAACATCCCTCTCTCTCTCACTCTCTCTCTCCCCTCCCTCCCTCCCCCCTCCCTTCCCTTCCCCTCCCCTCCCCTCCCTCCCTCCCCTCCCTCCCCTCCCTCCCCTCCCTCCCTCTCTCCCTCTCTCGCTCTCTCTCTCTCTCTCTCTCCCTCTTGCCCTCTGTCACGGTCTCTCTCCTTTTTCTTTTCTGTCTTAAGGGTGGGGGCGGTGCCGACGAGGCGCCACGAAATGGCCACTGGATCGTCAAAAATTGAAATAAAATTGCGATTAAACACCGTCGGTGGCAACCCTTTCGCACGGAATAAGGTTCGATCATCAAAAACTGCAGTAAAATACCGTTAGCATCCTCCGCGGAATTTGCTCATGGGCTTGCGCGCATTCGTTGGCACGTTGCTAGGAGTAGCACGAAGTTACAGGTGGTATGTAGTGCATGCTTGCAAGCTGCATGTTACAAATATGACTCACATGCAAACAGACATTTGATCTCGACCGCTCGATCTTGAACTGTCACGCGTATCAAGGGAAATGACGACGGGAGCTGGCACAAGACCTAGAGACCCGAAACGGACAAAGAGGCACAGATGAAATCTTGGTGCGCTCGAAGGGTTGTTCTTGAAGTTTTTCTCCAAGTATTTCCGGGAAGTTTGAAAATATTTGCCCCCATATCGACAGTGAAAGCTCTGTGGCTGGCGGCCGAGCGCAAGCTTCGCGGGCTTGGCACCCGTGAGGCAGCAATGCATCGCAAACAAGCGCGCCGGACCATCGTACCCCACTTCTCGGAATAAGCCTCGAGCATCACTGCGACCAAACGCTGCGATGGCACATGCTGCGCAACCCTTTCGCATGCAATGAGGTTCCATCGTCAAAAACTGCGGCAAACTGCTATTTAACATCCTCCGCGGCAACCCCTTCGCACGACATGAGGTTTGATCGGCAAAAACTGAAATAAAATTGCGATTTTGAAGTATCCGCGGCAACTATTTCGCACGAAATGAGGCTCGAGTGTCAAAAACTCAGGGTTTCTTGCGACTTTGGTTGGTCCGGCGGCAACCCTGTTTCCCCTCCGTCCATCCCTGTTGTTGCTTCCGTCTCGCTCCTTCCCAACGGAGCTCTTCACAAGCTATTTCCCACGGTTTCCCCTCCTCAAGGCCACCACCTCCTCATCAGTCAGACCCGCCACATCGCGGCCACGCTTGCTCATTTGAACCCGTGCCCGTTCTGCAAGCCTCTTCGGGCCACGGCGGTCCGACCTTTTGGCCTGCGACTTGTTTGAAATTGTCTCCGTCTCCAAGTCCGACGGACAGTCTGCTGGGACTGCAGTGGTAGCTTCCTCCAGGTCCACTGAGCCCTTCATCTTGCACATGTGGGCGTCACAAACAACGGCAGATGGCGTTAGGCAGTTTTTCGCGCTATATTGGGATATGTTTTTTGGAAGTTTTTCACTCGCCGTGCCACTGTGTTCTGCTGTTCAGCAGGGTTGCTACAGTACAACCTGTGCAAGAGGCTAATACGGGATGGCTGATGGCAGCAACAACACACAATGTGCGAGCATTTCTTTCTGAATGTTTTGATTTTTTAATGAAATTTGTGAATGAAATGTGGCTTCATGTTTTGGCTAGCGGGAGGAAAACCACGCGTGTAGACGTGCTACGTTTTGAATATGTGGGTTGGGTGGGGTGGGGTGGGATATTAACGTTCATGTACCTTGCGTACATACGTGGATGCTACGCTGCTGCTACGTCACTGGTCAGGGGTTGGGTTTATTTAACGTTCATGTACCTTGCGTACATACGTGGATGCTACGCTGCTGCTACGTCACTGGTCAGGGGTTGGGTGGGGTGGGGTGGGATATTAACGTTCATGTACCTTGCATACACACGTGGATGCTACGCTACGTCACTGGTCAGGGGTTGGGTGGGGTGGGGTGGGATATTAACGTTCATGTACCTTGCGTACACGATGGAATGTGGAAAATTTCCAAAGGTGCAGTATCATCCTCTTGGAGCACACGTAAAGATGGTGCTGTGAACCCTCAATTGCTTCAAGGAATAAGGATTTGGCAACGGCGATGGCACCATGGAAATTCCACTGACTTCCTCAGTCTCACAGGCCGCGCCCTGAGCAAACGCTTGGAGAAGTGACACGACGGCGAAGAACAAGGAAAAGGCTTCCAGCCCGCCACAACCACAAAACCCTGTAAATACCACGACATTCCTTCAAAGTCATTCAATTTTCCCCGGGAAAATTTAAGGTAATGTCTATCATAAAATGTGTACGGCACCACAGCGCCAGAAGAGTTTCTTTTCAAAAAGTGTTCAACCGCTAGCGCGGTTTCCCACCCGCCGGGATGTTTTGGCTGTTTTTTCTCGGAATCCAGAAGCCACGTTAGGCAGTTTTTGGCGCCATTTTGGGGTATGTCTTTTTGGAACTTTTCGACTCGCCATGCCACTGTGTTCTGCTGTTCAGCAGGGTTGCTACCACACGACCTTTGCACGAAGGCTTATTTGGGATGGATAAAAGCAACAACAACAACAACAACAGATCATCTGCGCGCCTTTCTTTGTCAAAAAAATCTACGTCTTCAGAAGCCACGTTAGGCACTTTTTTCGGCCATGTGTTTTTAACCCTTCTGTCCTTCACTGCCATGGTGTTTTTGTGTTCCGGATGCTGCGGCAGCAGCAGCAGCAGCAACAGCAGCAGCAGCAGCAACTTAACAGCTACACTCCACACTCCACACTTCACACTCTATACTCTACACTTTACACTCCACACTTCACACTCTACACTTTACACTCCACACTCCACACTTTACACTTTACACTCCGCACTCCACACTTTACACTTTACACTCCGCACTCCACACTTTACACTCCACACTCAACACTTTACACTCCACACACCACACTTTACACTCCACACTCTACACTCCACACTCCACGCTCTACACTCCACACTCCACACTCCACACTTTACATTCTACACTCCACACTTCACACTCCACACTCTACACTCCACACTCCACACTTTACATTCTACACTCCACACTCCACACTCCACACTCCACACTCCACACTCCACACTTTACACTCTACACTTTACACGTCACACTCTACACTCTACACTCTACACTCTACACTTCACACTCCACACTTTACACTTTACACTCCACACTCTGCACTCCACACTCTACACTTTACACTCCACACTCTACACTCCACACTTTACACTTTATACTCTACACTCCATCCTTTACACTCCATACTCTACACTCTACACTCTACACTCCACACTTTATACTTTAGACTCCACACTCTACACTTTACACTCCGCACTTTGCACTCCACCCTCTTCTGGATCCCACAGTCTGCAGTGCACTGGTACGGTAACTGGGGAAAAATGTGCAACACTGTTCAAATCACTTGTTTCACAAAAGTGTTTTACGTGACTGCATTCGGGTTCGTGGGCTGCATCTTGTTTCATCACCACATCACCGTTTTTATGGCTTAAATTCCCATGTGTGTTCGCTGGCTTCCCCATCACCCAATTGACAAACATTCCTTGGTCAGCTCCCAATTTTTGGTGAAATGAACCATGTTCTATTGATCAAGCATCCCATTTTTGAGTGAAATGAAATGAAATCCAGCAACTTTTTCTTGGTGAAATCCACCATAACGTGTCTAAGTGTGTTGCTCAAATCCCCCATGTATCTCCAGGACCCACCTTGACACGTCGGTCACGGTCACGCGGATGGGAGTCTGGGCGGGATAACCTGATTTCACCAGTGTTTGATTACTGTGATTACACCATGGGCAAGTAACTCATCTGACTCGTTCGATGGGCCCACAACACAATTCATGGGGATATCACGTACAATTCAAGGTATGTCATGACAATGTCATCAGTATTCAAGGCAGGCAGCTGCAAGTGACTTAACAACGCAAGACACAGCAAAGATGTAACCACTGTAACCCAGTGACTCCGACATGAGGATTTTCAATGGAACTGATTTTTCCTTGAGTTTGCTTCTCCAAGAAGCATCAGAAAGTCTTGTGAATTCCGATGAAATGCCCCGATGCTGAACCAAATACCTGATGGAATGCACTATGACGCCAGCTCATGCAGTACAGCACCGCGCGGTGGCACAGGATGCAAAGATCATATTACACGAAATGCATGGGTAGTTTTTGGGCTTGCTCACTCCCGGTAATGTGTTAATATCGCCATGTTCAATGCTTATAATTCCCTGTCACTAGTATGTTCGCATTTTTCCGGAACCATCTGTTATTGGATCTATGTTGACACTAGCCTAATAGCTGCAACAGCGAGCACGATCTAGAGCACGATTTGTGGCGCGAAGGAGAGCACCAAAAAGCACGATCTAGAGCACGTTTTTTGGCACGAGGGAGAGCACCAAAAAGCACGATTTTGTGCACGAAGGAAAACACTCAAAACAACGTTCGCCCAAAATATAAAGAAATCCTTTTTTTGACTGTTACAGCTATTAGGACGGACTCAAGATCTATGCATCTAGGGGAGATCCATTCTAAAGATTCTTCCGGGGAGTTTCACCAAAAAAAAACTCCCATTTCTACAGGATTTTTATGGATTTTCCCATTTCCAGGACCAAGCATTTTGGGGATTCCATGCGATTCCATCAAATTCCATGGGATTCCATGGGATTCCCCATTTCTGGAAACCCATGGAAACCCACCAGAAATAGGCTCACCAAGCACCAGCTGGGCTTCCCCGGCATCCATCGCTCGAACGTTTGCCGCTGGGCTTCGGTGAATCTCTGCGACAGGACTCGATGCCGAAGTTTCTGATCCAAACCTCGCTGGGACTGTGCCGTGGATCATCGGATCATGGGATCATCCCTCAAAAAACATGAAAAATCTGGCCTTCAACAGTTCTTCAACAGTTCTTCATGTGAATTTTGTTCAGGTCCTATGTCCTGATGTTTCTGCCTGTATCCACTGATGAGTTCTGGCTGAATCATTCACTGTGATGGAATTCCAGCTTTCAGATCACGGATCATGCACAGTTTGAGGTGCTGGCGTCTCAAAAGCCGATGGAGTCCTGCGATGTTTCCATCGCAAGACTTGGTTCTGATGGGTAAACCCAATACCAAACCACAGCCAGGCCATCCATATCCAATTTGGCAACAGTTATACATAAATCATTGGCCCAAAAAGTCATCTATTGAGTTTGCCACGTAACATTAATCCACCTTACCCGGGCCCCGGGTCTGGTTCCGAAATCTGGCCCTCGGAGGCTGGACACAAAAACAAGTGCGCCTTTCAGAAGACCACTGCAGCGCACTTTGCGCCCAGTTCTCTTCCTCGCGTCGATCATCGATCACATCCCATAACAATGTCCCAACCACTCAACCACATTCAACCACCATAAGTCACCAAAAATACAGGGGCCATTCCCCAGCCATTCCCCAGCCATTCCCCATAAATCATCAATTCCCATTGTTCCCATCATCCATTTTTTCGGAAACATCAAACATCAAACATCATCCATAACCTTCCAGCTATGGGGTTCCCCACTGGTGCCGTGTCCTGACACAAGCCTCAGGCCATCGAGCCATGGCCATGTCGGCCGAAGGCTTCGGCAAAATGCCTGGCGGCTCAGGCAGAAACTGAAACGAGCCACTTTTCTGGTGACAAATTGCCATCAATCCATCATCAATCCATGAATTTCAGGACAAATCACCAAAAAGTCACGATGTTTGGAGAAATGGAGAAACTGATATCCCCAAATTTCATCACATTCCTCTTACAGACGACTCTTTCGGGGCGGTCACAAAAGGCTGACAGCCCCAGCCCCGCCTGTCCGGTCTGTCACGCCGCCCATCAAACACTGAATGTGTGCCATCGCAGTCCCCCCGATACGCACAAAAGCCTGGCACCGAAAAAACACAGTTGGGTGAGTTGAGACTGCCATGCGCCAAATAGATGTTACCCTCTGGTTATGACTAACAGTTCGCCATGGTATAGATGGCCCATAGAAATAGATGGTTTACCTATTAAAAATGGTGATTTTCCATGGCTATGTTTCCAATAACCAGAGTTACCTTTTTTTCCCAAAACCCAATGGGATCCAATGGGGAATATTCCAGGCATAAGTTGGGCTAATTTTCTTGTGATAGATTACTCGGGTCATTAAAAGCACTTCCTTTTTTACAATACTTATCAACTGGGTATACCAAATACCTCATCCAACAATTGTCAGCTGGGTTGTCATCGATTCTTGACAATTCATGATTCTCATTGACAAAAAACGTCATTCACATTTTACCCTGAATTCATGATTTGGGAAAGCACTAATACGTTTATCTTTTACCCATCAGAAACAGGTCACGACAGGCCTCGATTTCGAAATGGAGCAGCGAAGACCGAAATGCATCTGATCTCTTTACCTCAGGCGGACTCACCAACGAAATTTTGCCCAAAATACCAACTGTTTGATGATTTGTGAGGCAAAAGAAAATGTGAAATTCGCATCTTTTTTCACCACTAGTCAGTCACAAGTCGGTGGGAAACTATCAACTATCAACCACTATCATCCACTATCATCCACTATCATCCACTATCATCCACTATCATCCACTATCATCCACTATCATCCACTCTCATCCACTCTCATCCACTCTCATCCACTCTCATCCACTATCATCCACTATCATCCACTATCATCCACTATCATCCACTATCATCCACTATCATCCACTATCATCCACTATCATCCACTATCATCCACTATCATCCACTATCATCCACTATCATCCACTATCATCCACTATCATCCACTATCATCCACTGTCATCCACTGTCACCCACTGTCACCCACTGTCACCCACTGTCACCCACTGTCACCCACTGTCACCCACTGTCACCCACTGTCACCCACTGTCACCCACTGTCACCCACTGTCACCCACTGTCACCCACTGTCACCCACTGTCATCCACTGTCACCCACTGTCACCCACTGTCATCCACTGTCATCCACTGTCATCCACTGTCATCCACTGTCATCCACTGTCATCCACTGTCATCCACTGTCATCCACTGTCATCCACTGTCATCCACTGTCATCCACTGCCATCCACTGCCATCCACTGTCATCCACTGCCATCCACTGCCATCCACTGCCATCCACTGCCATCCACTGCCATCCACTGCCATCCACTGCCATCCACTGTCATCCACTGCCATCCACTCTCATCCACTGCCATCCACTCTCATCCACTCTCATCCACTCTCATCCACTCTCATCCACTCTCATCCACTCTCATCCACTCTCATCCACTCTCATCCACTCTCATCCACTCTCATCCACTCTCATCCACCGTCATCCACCCTCATCCACCCTCATCCACCCTCATCCACCCTCATCCACCGTCATCCACCGTCATCCACCGTCATCCACCGTCATCCACCCTCATCCACCCTCATCCACCCTCATCCACCCTCATCCACCCTCATCCACCCTCATCCACCCTCATCCACCCTCATCCACCCTCATCCACCCTCATCCACCCTCATCCACCCTCATCCACCCTCATCCACCCTCATCCACCCTCATCCACTCTCATCCACTCTCATCCACTCTCATCCACTCTCATCCACTCTCATCCACTCTCATCCACTCTCATCCACTCTCATCCACTCTCATCCACTCTCATCCACTCTCATCCACTCTCATCCACTCTCATCCACTCTCATCCACTCTCATCCACTGTCATCCACTGTCATCCACTGTCATCCACTGTCATCCACTGTCATCCACTGTCATCCACTCTCATCCACTCTCATCCACTCTCATCCACTCTCATCCACTGTCATCCACTGTCATCCACTGTCATCCACTGGCATCCACTGGCATCCACTGTCATCCACTGTCATCCACTGTCATCCACTGTCATCCACTGTCATCCACTGTCATCCACTGTCATCCACTCTCATCCACTCTCATCCACTCTCATCCACTCTCATCCACTCTCATCCACTCTCATCCACTCTCATCCACTCTCATCCACTCTCATCCACTCTCATCCACTCTCATCCACTCTCATCCACTCTCATCCACTCTCATCCACTCTCATCCACTCTCATCCCCTCTCATCCACTCTCATCCACTCTCATCCACTCTCATCCACTCTCATCCACTCTCATCCACTCTCATCCACTCTCATCCACTCTCATCCACTCTCATCCACTCTCATCCACTCTCATCCACTCTCATCCACTCTCATCCACTCTCATCCACTCTCATCCACTCTCATCCACTCTCATCCACTATCATCCACTATCATCATGGTATCTATCAATTATCCTATCATTGATGGTACCTTTTTGTTTGGTGATTCTGCCAGGTGACGCCGGCGCCACCGGCGCGACCGGCGGTGGACATGGTGGAGATGGCCCTGGTGGTGGTAGTGGTGGGCACCTGGGCTTTCGGACATTGTCGAAAAATGGAAGGAAAATGTGGGAAAATCCTAGGAAAATATGGGAAAATTTATTATAAATGGAGGTTTATAGCTGGCGAAAACCTTCTGTAAATGAATGGGAATCCCCTCTAAATGGAGTTTTATAGCTGGCAAAAACATCGAACTAAATAGGGGATTTCAAGGTTTAAAGATCTAAATGGTTGTATAGATGGGGGATTGAAGATTTTAACCATCAGGAAACATGAAGGATTGGCCCTACAGTAGCATCAAGATGATCTGTTGTGTTTGGCCCTTTCTGGTTTTGACATTCAAGTTCAGAGGATTTCAGAGGTACTTATCAATTCTTTTCCAGGCCACTTGAACTCACAGTCTCGGAGTTTTAAGTCACAGGTGTAATTCATGGGCATCAAGACACCTTCTCGCAATTCATGGGCGTCTCCCCAATGGTTTTTAGACATCCAAATTTTGTGTATCAAACGGTTTGTCCCAAACTGAAATACCCCTGAAATCCAATGGAAAAAACCGGGTAAACACCATCATTTTGCGGGTCAATCCCACGTGGTACATGTTTCAACACGATCGGAGTCGGCCGGCCTGCCGTTCTTGTAACCTCGGAAATGTGATTTCCAGATGGATCAAGACCCACCCTGGGACCCTGGGACCCTGGGAGCTTGTTTTTTTCGTTCCAAAATGGTTGGTAACAGGGGTAATCTATGGTAATTATGGACACTATGGATGTTTCCCCAACCTGTTGGGCCCATGAGATTTTCTGGGAACAAATACAAACATCTGAGATTCTGTGGCCCCCGCCGCTTGTTCCATTCATTGTGGTGGCAATCATCAAGGACATCCTTAGTATTCACGTCTCGCTTGCCCTTGAAACAAGTTTGTGCTATCGCATTGTGTTCCTAGGTTCTAAGTTTCGCGCATCTGGGGCGAAAGATACATTTGGACTGTGGGAATCCCGCCCAGAGGCGCCAATCTTTGGTTTCGCTGGGGCCAAAGCAACGGAATTTGACCAAATAAATGTTTGATTCCAAAAAAAAACACAGGAATAAAAAAGTTCTGCGTTGAGCGCATCACCAATCAGAATTGCATTTTTCCAATGTTATGAAAAATGTTGACATTGGACAAAACATACAGCACATGCACTCGTTCTCACCATAAACCAAACACGCGCATGTGCATGTCATGTGGTGTGCAACGTTGCGTAAACCATAACCATCTCTCAAATATGTGTATTTTTTGTGTTTTTTCCAAAAAACAATGAACAACTGCACAAACATGCACAAACGACATCAGCGAAATCGGTCGACTGTTTTTTCTGCGACTGCGATCAAGAAGGGAATTGTTTTTGAGTTGGAAGGATGTAGTTTGGCATCAACATGTGGAACTTTCAGCATTTGCATGCTGCGGTACTGCATCGCCTGGAAAACATGTAAACATAATTTGCATATCCTGCATGTATCCCCAACAGTGGGTCGGTGTTGGCATATTATGGCGTACGTGGGTTGGAAAACAATTGGTTATTGTTACGTGTGGCATCACTGCTGCGTTGCAACGGGTGGAAAACATTTCGGCATTTCCGGCATATCTATGCAGGCATCCTCCCTGCATTGGGTGAGAATGAAAAAATTGAGTGGGGTGGGGGATCAAAACATGGCATGTAGGGAAGTGGGTAACGAATCCTATGTTCTTTCCTCTGGTGAACCCTGCATGACTTGTTTGTTGATATTGGAGCATACATACAAAAGAAAACTGCCATTCATACAGCTCCCCCACACCCAAAACGCTCCACAACTGCACTTGAGACAACAGAGCAACGTCAAGAATTACCGACCCTAACAATGGGCAACGGACAATGACCATCAATGACTCATAGAATATCTTAAATCATTTGGAGAGTACACCAGACTCTAGAATTCCGCGCTTGTTCTTGCGTTTCAACGAATGCTTGCACTTCCAGGCACAAGTGGTTCAAGACAAGCAGCAGTTGGACTCATGACAGGATCAGAAGGTCCAGCAGCCTGACGATATGATTCAGTCTGTTCATAATGTCTGGGGTGCATTTTTGCTCTGCTTGAGCCCTGGTTGAGACAGACTTTTGAACATGTCTCAAAAAGAACTGCATTCTCCATGAGATCATCCTTTTGCAGCCTTGGATGCTGCCTCACCAGTCTCAGCAGGTCCGCCCTGAACCAGGTAATCGTGAATCACACGGACAAACCCCTGAAATCAAGCAGAGCATCATGTTCATAGCCAATGCGAAGGCCAAACAATGCATGCATCATCATCATCAGAAGCCTTCGGCAAATCTTTGCAAATCATCCGAGCAGCAATACCGAGTAGCCTTCACAGTAATGTCACTATTGGAAAGGGATGAGGGAGCAGAATACCCACTGCCTCAGAACCCTTCGCCGCCGAATCAGCCTTCGCAAGGAAGATTTGCAACAACAATGGGACAACACAAAATTGCCCAAAAGTATCCCAGAACAAAAATCTGCCAGCAACACTCCCACATCTTACACATCCAACATTCTCCAATAACATCTATCTGAATATGCGATCGTGCGCCTTGACGGCCGCAAACAATCTCTCTTCCAGATCACTTCCAAAAAATGGTCCGTGCATTTGTTCAACGATTGGCTAAAGCCCCGCAACCCTGTACCGCACTGTTCTTTGTATAGACTTCGTCCAAAGACCTGCCCTGAGGCCAATACGTCTGGGCACCTGCCAAAAAAACAAATGTTGGATGATCGCAAGGTCGAGGATTGCCATTGCCAAGGGACCTTCCGCAGGCGACCCGTAGCTCCCGTTCTTTCCGGGACATGGCCATTCCGTAATGCGGGATGTGTCCCGTTACGAAAAGAAACGGTTTAGATTCTGGTTAATGATATTATTTTGGGAAATATTTCTTGTAGGTAATGATGAGAAATAACGGTGAACTCTGGATCCGTTACCACAAACAGCTGGGGTGGAATTCAATCCGGGGCTACGGATGCTATCCCCTGGGTTGCATAATGTAGTCAGGGCCAAACTATGGGACAATTGTTTGCAAACAGGCTGATCTATGATGTGCTTTTTGAAAAACTCAAAGCATGGTATGAGTCGTGAATAACAAAGGGACCTGAACTGGCAGCTGGAAGTGAGCCACAAAAAGCGCAGACAAACATGTGTTCGGCCAACTCATGTTTTTTCTTTGGACAAGTTCTGATCACACATGTTCATGTGAAGGTTAAAACAGATTGGCAATCTTTACCTCGAGTAAAAGTTTTCAGCCCACAAGAGCAACAACATGATTAACCGCAAAGAAGCATGACATCCCACGAAATCGCAAGGTCAACCTCTCAGTGTAGTTATTATAGCAACGATTTTTTCACATGGCAATTATTAAAACCATTGAATCATTCATGAAGATCGAACTCATGATGTTGGTGGCAATGATCGAACAAGTATTCGAACTCACAAGAACAAGAAGCAGTGGTGGTGGCCATGCGCGCGTTTCTGATGCAGGCAATTTGGCTCAGCCACTCGAATTACACATTCCGGCTTCCCGAATGTGAGGCGCCCAAGCGTGACCACCCTGCTGGCTATCGAGTCCATCAAGTCCAGGTTTCACCGATCGCAGCAACAGGCCAGCTTCATGAAAGCCGCCACAAAGTTACGGAGGCCTGGACATTCCTGGCGAAAATTGCCGCAGGAAAAGGCCCGATGAACTATAGAACAGCGCGAGCAACAGAATGCACCTTCGGCAAAACCAGTTCCAAAAAAAAAGGCTAAGAAACACAAAAAAAAAATGGTTCCCCAAAAAAAGGGCATAGAGAATCGCAGTGTCGCTGGTGCCCAACGCAAAACCTTTGGCCAAAAAACAAAAAGCAAAGCAAGCAAACGGTGAAGTCAGCAACCTGGTTTTTGCAAACAGTTGCGCATAGAGAATCGCCGCGTCACTGGTTCCCGACACAAATCTATTGGCAAAAATGGTTTCCAAAGTTGAACACATGGAAAAAAAGTGAAACTATAAGCTTGTGGACTGCGAAATGACATGCATTGAGAACGATTTCTTTCTACGTAGGAACCAACATGTGTCTATAAAACTTCCATGTACATCATTTACTCATATACTTCACGGGGGCAGCCTCCAAAAGCACATCACTATACACTTTTTTTGAAGGGCCCTGACCCACCAGTTTTACATAGACCCGGGCAAGCCGGCGGCGGAAGTTTCCCAAAAATAAATGACCTATAGTTCGAAGAAAAACCTGTCCCGACCGTGTCCTTCCCTCGACAAGCGGTTTTTTTTTTCTCAGCGAGAGACGAAGCAAAGTCTTCACACTCCACACTCCACACTTCACACTGCACTCTTCGCACTCCAAACTTCAAACTTCACACTCCACACTTCACACTTCACAATTCACACTTCACAGTCCACACTTCACACTTCTCACTTCTCACTGCTTCCTTCACACTCCAAACCTCGCACTTCACACTTCACACTTCACACTGCGCTCTTCGCACTCCAAACTGAAACTTCACACTCCACACTTCACACTTCACACTCCACACCTCTCACTTCTCACTTCCCACTGCTTCCTTCACACTTCACACTTCACACTGCACTCTTCACGCCCCACACTTCACACTGCTCTAAACCTACGTGCAACAAAAATAACACTAGTGCCAAAATGGAGAAAATCTGCTAACAAATCCATTTCGCAGCCTTCATGCAGCCACTCCAAGACGATTTCCGAGATCCAGCTGCAAAAGACAATAGTATGACAAATGCAGCCACAGCACGAAGCAACCTTGACGCAGCCATTACAATGCGATCTGCAGAGACTGAGTTGCGAAACACAATAGAACTACGCGCAACGGCGTCGGAAATTGTAGCTCCAAAACCGGATCTCGACGCCAGAGCGAAAAAAGACGATTTTGAAGCACTTTTTAAAAGGATTTTTAGAAGGAAAATCACTAGCGCCAAAATGGAGAAAATCTGCTAACAAATCCATGTCGCAGCCTTCATGCAGCCACTCCAAGACGATGTACGAGATCCAGCTGCAAAAGACATTACGCATGCAGCCAAAGCAAGAAGCAACCTTGACGCAGCCATTCCAATGCGATCTGCGGAGACCGAGTTGCAAAACACAAGAAAACTACGCGCAATGGCATCGGAAATTGTAGCTCCAAAACCGGATCTCGACGCCAGAGCGAAAAAAAGACGATTTTGAAGCACTTTTTAAAAGGATTTTTAAAAGGAAAATCACTAGCGCCAAAATGGAGAAAAAAACGCATTTCGTGCGAGACTTCCTTCAAAACTCCATCGGCAACTCATCCACCAGCACCACTTGCAATCCCATTTACATTGCGGGAACGATCCTACAGTTGCAAATCACAATGGAATTCTGTCGGCCGCAAATGCACGAAACACAGGTGACACCTCATTTACAATACGGAACCGATCCGAGCATGATCCGAACATGATCCGACCATGATCCGAGAATGATCCGACCACACACACGAGACCGTCTCGCACCCGTCGCACCGCAGAGGTAGATCATCGACGTTCGGGGACGCACTTTGTCTGGAAAAACACAGGGTTTCGTGCATCTGCTATCTCTCAAAAACGCATTTCGTGCGAGACTTCCTTCAAAACTCCATCGGCAACTCCTCCACCAACACCACTTGCAATGCCATTTGCATTGCGGGAACGATCCTACAGTTGCAAATCACAATGGAATTCCATCGGCAACTCATCCACCAGCACCACTTGCAATCCCATTTACATTGCGGGAACGATCCTACAGTTACAAATCACAATGGAATTATGTCGACCGCAAATGCACGAAACACAGGTGAAACCCCATTTTCAATGCGGAACCGATCCGACCGATCCGAGAATGATCCGAGAATATCCGAGAATGATCCGACCACACACGAGACCGTCTCGCACCCGTCGCACCGCAGAGGTAGATCATCGACGTTCGGGGACGGACTTTGTATGGAAAAACATAGGCTTTCGTGCATCTGCTATCTCTCAAAAACGCATTTAGTGCGAGGCTTTCTGCAAAACTCCATCGGCAACTCCTCCACCAGCACCACTTGCAATCCCATTTACAGTGAGGGAACGATCCTAGAGTTGCAAATCACAATGGAATTCCATCGGCAATTCATCCACCAGCACCACTTGCAACCCCATTTACAATGCGGGAACGATCCTACAGTTGCAAATCACAATGGAATTCTGTCGACCACACATGCACGAAAAACAGTTGAAACCCCATTTACAATGCGGAACCGATCCGACCATGATCCGCCCATGATCCGAACATGATCCGAGCATGATCCGACCACACACGAGACCGTCTCGCACCCGTCGCACCGCAGAGGTAGATCATCGAGGTTCGGGGACGCACTTTGTATGGAAAACATAGGGTTTCGTGCATCTGCTATCTCTCAAAAACGCATTTCGTGCGAGACTTCCTCCAAAACTCCATCGGCAACTCATCCACCAGCACCACTTGCAATCCCATTTACATTGCGGGAACGATCCTACAGTTGCAAATCACAATGCCCTGACTAACTCTTTCCCTCACTAACTCTTTCTTTGACTAACTCTTTCCCTCACCAACTCTTTCCACTAACTCTTTCTTTGACTACCTCTTTCTTTAACTAACTGTTTCTTTGACTAACTGTTTCTTTGACTAACTGTTTCTTTGACTAACTGTTTCTTTGACTAACTCTTTCTTTGACTAACTCTTTCTTTGACTAACTGTTTCTTTGACTAACTCTTTCTTTGACTAACTCTTTCTTTGACTAACTCTTTCCCTGACTAACTCTTTCTTTGACTAACTCTTTCTTTGACTAACTCTTTCCCTGACTAACTGTTTCTTTGACTAACTCTTTCTTTGACTAACGGTTTCTTTGCTAACTCTTTCCCTCACTAACTCTTTCTTTGACTAACTCTTTCCCTGACTAACTCTTTCTTTGACTAACTCTTTCCCTGACTAACTGTTTCTTTGCTAAATCTTTCTTTGACTAACTCTTTCCCTCACTAACTCTTTCTTTGACTAACTCTTTCCCTCACTAACTCTTTCTTTGACTAACTCTTTCCCTGACTAACTGTTTCTTTGACTAATTCTTTCTTTGACTAACTCTTTCTTTCACTAACTCTTTCCCTGACTAACTGTTTCTTTGACTAACTGTTTCTTTGCTAACTCTTTCCCTCACTAACTCTTTCTTTGACTAACTCTTTCCCTGACTAACTGTTTCTTTGACTACCTCTTTGTTTGACTAACTCTTTCCCTCACTAACTCTTTCTTTGACTAACTCTTTCCCTCACTAACTCTTTCTTTGACTAACTCTTTCCCTCACTAACTATTTCTTTGACTAACTCTTTCCCTCACTAACTCTTTCTTTGACTAACTCTTTTGACTAACTGTTTCTTTGACTAACTCTTTCTTTGACTAACTCTTTCTTTGACTAACTGTTTCTTTGACTAACTGTTTCTTTGACTAACTCTTTCCCTGACATTCTAAAAGTCCGTAACACGGAAGTTTCTCCCCCTAAACTTCCTTTGATCATTAATCCTAGTATGTAAAGCCCTATTGTTGATGGTTTAATGGTAATTAATTAATTAAATCCCACATTATGTACACCACCATGAAAATAGGGGTTTACTATCACATCATATTCCCATTCCCATTCTGGTGAAATCGCGGCGTCCCAGATAATGTTTCTATCATGTTCCATCCCACTGAGTCTACTGCTTAGAATTAGTTACATCATGAAAACCCATGAAGCATCCAAAGTTCCCATATTTCAACTGAGGGTAAGTGGTGCTTTAAGGCCGGGCG